GCATTTGTGGAAAAGCGCGTCTAGATTGGCACGGACGCTTTTCCTCAAAAGCACTTTTTGTGGAAAAGCGTCCATGCCAATCTAGACGCCCTTTTCCGCAAAAAAGCCCCGATCGCCATTTTCGTGATCTGGGCTTTTTTGTGCAAAACAAATCTGAGCTGTCTACACTGGCCCTTTTACACAGAAGCTTTGCGCAAAAGGACTTTGCCCGAATGGGAGCAGCATAGTATTTCCGCAAAAAGCACTGATTTCAGACAGTAGGAAGTCAATGTTCTTGCAGAAATTCAAGCGGCCAGTGTAGACAGCTGGCAAGTTTTTCCTCAAAAGCAACTGCTTTTACGGAAAAACTTGCCAGTCTAGACACAGCCACCCAGAGTGATAAACACTGTGTGCCCATGTCTGTCCCTGTGCAGTATGGACAGGCACCAACCTGCTATGGAAATCGCTGACTCTCTCTCCTTGTTGAGTTGGGGGTTCCTGATGCGGCAGGACACTTTCTGGATGGACATGTCTGTTAGAACCATGGCAGTCTGTGTTTGAAACAGGCCACCAGCTGCTTGGGAGCTGCTTTCTGAGGCTGATGGTAAGAGCTGCCCCTGCTGGTCTCTCCACTCAGCTTCAGGCTGTGGGTACCATCCAGATGACTGACACACCAGCCGGATCCCTCCATCCTGATGTCCCTCCACAGAGATGTCAGGATCAGAGCCCAAATCTAGAGAAAAAATAAAAGGAACTTGTGATAATCCCACAGTGCCTGGTAAGAACACCAAAAGTTTTATCACCCTGTTAGCTACATACATTTCTTGTGAACTAGCAAGCAAATGTGAGTCCATGAGTGTGGTTGGTCAGTTATTCTGGCCAAATTCATATTTGATATCTAGTAAATTTAATTTTTATGTCAGGGATTTTCTACGTATAAAAAACTTTTCTACATATTTGTGAATGGGTGCTATTTGCAATACTTTATTTTGAAATAAAAAATATTGTGTAGATGCAGTTATTTTAGGAGAAAACCCTTCCTCCAAAATAACCCTTATTCATCATATAACAAGGCTTACCAGTTATTTCGGAAGAAGGGTTTTCTCCTGAAATAACTGCATCTAAACAACATTTTTTATTTTGAAATAGCGCCTGTCCGCAAATATGCAAATGAAGTGCAGGATATTTAAATCCCAGCTTAATTTACAATTTCAAATGTCTACATTTGCATCCAGAATAGTGATAGAGATGCAGCCATGTTAGTCTGGTCTAGCTGAAACAAAAGACAAGACTATGTAGCACTTTGAAGACTAACAAGATGGTTCATTAGGTGATGAGCTTTCGTGGGTCAGACCCACTTAAGAGAAGGTGCAAATGTAGACATACCCCTATATACTGTAAACTGAAATGAAAATTCAATCTTTATATTCAACTGATTTACTTTATAATTATCTGATAGAAATGAGAAGTCAGTATTTGTCAGTCCTAGTGTCTGTGACACTTTTGTACGTCTCTGTCTGATTTTATAAGCAAGTAGTTTTTAACTGAAGGGAAACTTGAGGAGGTATAAAGGAGGAATCCAGTTCCTGAAAGAGGTCCGCAGAGTCCCATAATCCAGGGTACATTTACACTATGGAATCTTTTGGGATACCAGAGGTATCCTGAAAAACTCTGCCGTATCCAGGGAACGCGTCTGCTCGTCTGCTTTATTTTGCAGAGGAGTTCGTTGTGTCATGAAGAAAAAGGGCTCTGCCAAAAGAGGAGGTGTCACATTACCGAATTGGAGGGAAGCAGCCAGATCATGGCTGCACCCATAGGTGGGGGTGCTGGCCCCAACAATGGTATAAAAGGGAACCATGTGGGGTGCTGAATAGAAGCTTATTATCTGATAAGCCTATGTAAGCTATTTATGTGGTTGTATAATGTCTGTGTGTGTAGTTAGGAATCTGTAGTCTGTGTGGATACTGATTACCGTATATACTCGAGTATAAGCCGAGTTTTTCAGCTGCAGACCCATTTAATGAACACATTCAAATATAATTTTGAATAACACAATTTCATGATTTGTTCAAGAACAAACCTTAAATTTTGTCTTATCAAATTAGTCATAGTGAACTACTTGCTCAGCCCCATCTATGGCTGTAAGGGAGTTCATTCCAGATGTATCCTACTATCATTTTACTAGAGAAAAATGTCATTTTTATATAAGTTTTGTCAAATCTCAGAGGAAGAGGATGTAACAATTTTTTGTGTTGCATACAAGCAAATCATAAAAAGTCCACACTCCAAATTAGATTGTAGAGGCAATTGTCAGGGAAAATGTTATTAAAATGTCCTTTTTTCAGTGTGTTAAAGCATCACAATCATCAGTCAAATTATTTTAAATTGGAAAAGGAAGAAGCAAATTTAATCCTCTTACCCTGTCCTCCCAGAATCCCAAACTTTGTTCCTCCTCCTTTGCCACTTCCTCACCCAGCAGCCAACAGGCCCTTCTCTGTCTCCTTTTCATCCTCCAGTAGCCAATCTAATGCTTCTGAGATGACTTGCTCAGGTCACTTCCCCTTATGCATTTACCTGAGGGGTCATCTTTTCCACAGCCTTTCCATCTGCCAGGATAGGTCCACACAAAGAAGGCTCTTCCTGCTCCTCTACTGTTCTATCCTTCTTTCAGAACCAGGGATAGCTCCTGCTCTCATATTATTGCCCATCCTTCCATAGTGTCTGGAAAGCTCTTCTTTCTCTTTCTTTGCCACTTGTTTATAACCTTTCTTTGTTGCTATTCTGGCCAGCTTGGCCTCTGAATCCTGTGAATTGGTGACTATTTTAATGATTATGTAGAGTACAAGAAGCACCAACAGCAGCCCCTTTAAGTTCTGTGGTTCCCAGGCTGACCTTAGCAACATAGTAGTTGGGCTGGCTGCTGTCTCCTGCAACCATCCATCCTTAGTTCTTCTGAGTCTTCCCTGAAGAGAAGGATACCAATTATACAATCAGGCCGGATTGTCCTTTGCTGTCACAACTGGCCTATATAAGTGAGTGGAATCTTCCATAGGGTTGGACAGAGAGATGGGGGGAAGAGAGGGATGGAAATTATGCCACTACTTTCCCTTCTGTGAGTTGGCAACTGGAGACTACATCTCTCCTCATAGGAAAGCTTCTGTCATGACTCACCTCAGTTTGTCTATTGGGATGGGAAGCTTCTTCTGCTTCATGTTCCAGAGAGATGCTTCTAGTGCCATGACTATCAAAACTGCTATAAAATTGTTCCCCACACTACTTGTATATATGAATAAAAAGCACAGGATTTAAACTAGGAAGAGCAAAGCTGCAGAAAGATGTGTGAGCAAGTCATGCGTCAATTCCACAATGGAGTTGACGGAAGACTTCTTTCTGAGTCAGAATATATAAACTGCACATGAAGAGCTGCACATTAACATGCAGAAGATCCAGAGTAAAAACCAAACAAACATATTTTTAAGAGAGACATAGGGATGGTGAAAGTCATTTAGTGCTCTATATGCTCATCGCTCCGAGATACCAGCTATATGACTAATGTCATTGTCCTATACATTCGCTTCAACACACTTCTAAAAATCACATTTTTTCCCTCAGAAATAATTATGGCAGTGTAATATCTCCATTTTTACTGACCATTTAAAAATCACTAGGGTACTGCTGCTTCCAAATGTAGCACTGATTTTAATGCTGCTGCACAGGAGACAGAGGGCTAAATTCAGGGGGCCATGTACATGAATCTTAACAGAGTCTAAGCTGTTGTACTTGCACTTCTAGCCCCTGTAGTGGGTAAATTACACCAACATAGATTCACTCTGAGGTGGATTGCAATGTGGGTAGAATACCTAAGTTAGCTTTGTTCTAGCTCAAGAACAGGGGTGATATTTCAGATTTTGGTAGAGTGGAGCAAGTTAAACCAAAATTCCAGCAACTACTTAGAAATTATAAAAAGGAATAAAATAGATAGTATATCCACTCTGGTCTAATAGTACCATGTTCTCAAATCTAGTGTCAACTCACTGAAGGGACACTGGTTAAGCTATAAATTTTAATATATGTTCTGACTTTGTTACTAATTCTTGAAAACAACATTTGAAACAACTGTAGAGAAATCTAGAGTACTTTTTTGCAGTTCACCAAGGGTAGAACAGATCATTTAACCTTTGAAAACATTCTATTAGGGCAAGGCCCTGTGAGTTTATACTGCACCTGCTTAGGTCTCTAGGGGGACAACTAGATTACATCCCTCTTGCAACAGAGGGATGTAAATTAGACACTTTGAAATTGCAAATGAAGCCGGGATTTGAATTTCCTATGCTTCATTGCATAGCGCTTTTTCAAGAGTGCCATTTCAAAAGTAAAACAGCGGTCTAGAATTGGGTCTTTCGAAAATAGAAGCCTATAAACCTCATTTTTTGATCTTTTGAAAAAGGCTTCTATTTTCGAAAGAACAGTGTCTAGACCACGGTTTTACTTTCGAAATAGCATTTTTTTTCAAAAGAGCGCCATGATGCAAATATGAAAATGAAGCACAGGAAATTCAAATTCCAGCTTCATTTGCAATTTTGATATGTCTAATTTACATCCATCTTTCGAAAGAGAGATGTAGTTTAGACATGCCCTGGAGGTGGGGTGTGTGAGAGGGCTTGGGGTGAGAGAGGGCTCAGGGCAGGGGGTTCCATCTGCAATGGGCCTTTTCTCTCCCTATAGCTCCACCCTGGCCACTAGACTGTTTTTTCTTTCTCCGCTCCGCCTGACCTCCAGGGACATTTTCTTTTCCCCCTCCCCCTTGCCCCCCACCCTTTGGTTGCCAGGGGGCTTTTTTAACCACTTCTCTAGTGCTGTGGCCAAGGGCTGGTGGGGGGAGGGGAGGTTCTGGGTAGGGGGTTACTTACTGGTGTGCTGGTAGGTAAGAGGATGGAACCAGCCCTGCTCACCACTCCTTTGGTGGTTCGTCTCTACCAGTGGATAACTTACCCCTGTGGGTTCACTGCCCCCAGTGGCCACTCTTATCTCATGCCCCTCCAAACAGCAGCTCCTCCCTTTGCCTGTTATGGGAAACTGTCCTTTTCCCGGGGCTTCTGGTTGTCCTGGCACAACCAAACCCTGACCTTGCTATACAATAGGAGAAGAGGAAACTGCCTCCCAAATGTGGTGTTCCCCACTCTTACCATTTAGGAGGAGTTCTTGAACAAATGGACACACAAACAGATGCACACTAAAATCTACGTATTGATTGTAAAACTAGGCAGGAGTTCATGCACCCCCTGGAAGATCTCTGCATACCACATGGGTATATGTATTCTTGGTTGAGAACCATTGCTCAGTCTAATGACCTCAAATTTAGCCTAATCTCCCTACCTTAGATTCCAATGAGCCACAAAAATGTTCAAGAGAATCTGTGTATGAGTGTGAATTTTAGAGCCCTTAGAGGAAAAAAAAACCCTGTGTTTTAGCACTAAACTAGAATAAGCCTTAACCAGAAAAGACCAACTTTAATGAGCAAAATCAGGTCTCATCTCACAGTGACACCCTGATTCCCCTTATCCCATTGAGGACATCAACATATCACAACGAGTTACTGACCTGCCACCCGTAGTTCCAATAAAGCTTCTTCGTAAGAGGCACTGGACTGAAAATAACACGTGTACTGCCCATGGTCAGAGGGTCGGACGTCGTATATTCTCAGGGAAACTCTCCCACTGCTGATATCGTCTTTCAAGAGCTCCGTTCTCCCTCGATATTCTGGCATTTGCTGCACGTACTGATCCTGCCCGTCGCGGTACAGGTGCACGACTGCAGAGTACTGGGACCGGAACCATCTCACCTCCATGTTCTCAGCGCTCATGCTGGGGGAGAGGTGGCAGGACAGGATGGCCACCCCACGTAGGGAGGCAGCAAGTGGACGGTCAGGTCCCCTCACTGTGAACTGTGCTGTGACATGCACAATGAAAAATGGAAGTTGAATCGGCAATGGGCTATGGGTGGTGTTAGCTCAGCAGTAGCACACACAGTAAGAGAGCATCCTGCATTAGAAGTGAACACCCCCCATCTCCATGTAATGTCCTAACTATGTCTGTGAGCACAAAGAGTCACAGGCTTGGGGTAACTGCAGCTCTAACCTCTTCTATGGCATGCTCAAGGAATGGCTCCTTAAGGCCTCTGCAATGTGGGATGCTGCAAAGGGTTACAAAGGGATCTCACAAAACTGGTTGACTGGGGACCACAAAGGCAGACAGAATTCGGTGTAGATAAATGCAAAGTAATCACATGGCAAAATATAATCCCAAGTATACATACAAAATGAAGGGGTCTAAATTAACTGTTACCCCTCCAGAAAGTGATCTTGAAGTCACTGTGGATCGTTCTCTGCAAGCATCCACTCAGTGGGCAGCGGTAGTTAAAAAAGCAAATAGAAAGTTAGAAATTGTTAGGAAAGTAATAGAGAATAAGCTAGAGAACATCATAATGCCTCTGTATAAACCCATGGTACGCCTACATCTTGAATACTGCATACAAATCTGGTCGCCCATCTAAAAAATGATCTGCTGGGTTTGGAAAAGGTACAGAAAGGGCGACAGAAATGATTAGGGGTGAAAGGAATAGCTTCATATGAAGAGAGATTAAAAGACTGGGACTTCTCAGCCTGGAAGAGAGATGAGTAAAGGGGGCAGGTTCAAGGTCTATTAAATCATGAATGGTGTGGAAAACCTGGCTAAGGAAATGTTATTTACTTCATCATATTCCGCAGGAAGGTCACCCAAAGAAATCTATAGGCAGCAGGTTTAAAACAAGCAAAATGAATTATTTCCTCACAGTGAAGCTGTGGAACTCTTTGCCGGGGATGGTGGAAAGGCCCAAATTATAACAGGCTTCTGACATGGGTGACAGGTAACAGAGGCAAGGGAAGGCCTTCCCTAAAAGACTAAGAGGGTAGATCTCATGCGCTCTCTGGCTGGGAAGGCTGGGGCCACATGGCTGCCCAGCTGTCCAGGAAGACTGAAGATGTGGCCCTGCTGCCCAGAGCGTCCAGGAGCTGTGGCTGCTCCCTGGCTGCTCTGGAGGTGGGAGGAGAGCCAGGACCATGTGGCTGCTTGTCTGGCTAGGAAGGCTGGAGATGGGACTGCAATGCAGCTGCCTGGCTGCTCTGGATGAGCTGGGGATACAACCTGGCTATCCTGGGGGAGAGCTGGAGCTGCCCTCTGTTCTGGGGGCTGGAGCAGGACTGGGGGTGGGGAGGAACAGGGGCTATGGGGCTGTCCAGCATGGAGGGAAGGGGGAAGCTCTAGCTTTGGGCAAGGGGGCTCAGGGACAAATCCATCAATGGCTTTTAGCCAGGATGGGCAGGGAGGGTGTCCTGAGCCTCTG